GCCTTTAGGCCCAGAACCGCGAGAACAGGCCTGGGGACTGCCGGGCGGCAGCAAGGGCTTCGCTGGCTCTCTTTTTGTTTTGCCCCCCTGCCGCTCTCGGGCCCTCACCCAGCGTCGGCGACACCTCCAAGCCAGGCACTATGGCGGACGCGGCCTGGCTTCGGGCGAGCGCCCCACTCCGGGGTCTCTTAAGCAGGGATTGCACGGGCGGAGCGCGCGAGGCGGGGCTGGCGTGCGCGGAGAGGCGGGGCGGGGGGGGGGGGGCGGGGGGGCCGTGGCGTCACAAAGCGCACCGGCCCGCCCACGTGACCTGCGCTTTGTGACTCCGGAGCGCGGAACCTGATCTAGCCCCGGGAACGGGAGGAACCATCTGCTCCCCGAGGGAGGGGGAGCCTGTAGCGTAAAGAGGACCGGCTCATCGGGCGAATTCGGAGGCGTGCTCACATGGCAGCTGCTGCCTTGGTACTTTCGCTGCCAAGTGACGTACGAAGGGGTGGCCGACTGACTCCCTCTTAAGCCGTTTTCATCGCTTTCCCGAAGCCCCCAGATTTAAGTAAACTTTGTGGTTGTTCTGCAGAAACTATGGGTGCTATGCAAGCACTCCGTAGCTTCGCCTTTCGACAAACTGGCTATTCTAAACTCTTCATTAAGTGGAAATACAAGAGCAGCCTCTGCTTAAAACTAGTAACTGTCACCACCTAGGCATAGGGCTATCCGCTAAATAACTGCCAGGCTCTGGAGCCAAGCTGTCTGGATTAGAATCTTACCTGGAGTCTCTAGATTTAATTTACCTCTGTTTAGGTTCCTCGGCTAAGTGAATCCATTTCCGTAGTTTAAGACCATGCCTGGCTCGTGGTTGAATGAGGTGTGGCTCAGTAAATGTCAATTTAACAACAAAAGCCCTAAGTGGTCAACATCACCACTACCTTCAATTTAATTGAATCTGCCAAAGGGGAATCTACCTGCTCAGTGGCAGGGTCCTCATCACCAGTGCCAGGAACTGTGCTAAGAACTCTCAGGATGGGCTGGAATCTATTTTTCTTAGAGCACGGGGGAGTTATTATTACATCCATAAAATTCATAATAAAATATATGTAAACTAATAATCACTATTGTTTACAATGTATGTTCCTTATCCTCTCTGAATTTTACAGGCTAGGATCACTGAAATTAGGCAGCTGAGAACAGATATTACGGTCAAGAAGTAGCAGAGTTTCCCAAGGACTTCCTGAATGCACACCCCAAATTCTCACTGAACTTAATTTAAATCTATCCTGTCAGAAAAGCTTTCCTAAGACTTCTCTGTTTAAGTAGGAGAGCTGTCATTCTCTGTTTTTTATTTTATTCCTCACACCAATAGCTGGCATGGTATATATGTATTTTAAATGTCTTTCTGCCTCACCCTAGAGCCCCCTCCCTAGCCACTGAGAACAGAAATTTTGTCTTTGTCTTTTTGCTGCATCCTCAGTTCCTAGAACAGTGACTGAGCATTTAAGTACTCAATATGTGTCAAATATCTGGACACATTTTATGTAATCTATAGAACTACCATTGCAATCAGATTTTGGTAACAGTCAAGGGTAACCCGAGTGTTGTGAATACAATTTTCCTCAGTTTTCAGTAATTTCACCAAACCAGTACTTCTCATATTTACAAATTTCTTCCATCTGCATTTTCTTTTTTAGCACATCAAGCTTTTCTTGATGTCAGATCACTTCAAGATGGCTGCTTTTCTTAAAACCTCTGTGTAAAGGGAAAGA